TCTGCGCCGCCCGGCCGGCCCCACGCCGCGCCCGGAGCCCGCCCCGCGGCCAGGTAACGAGGCTGGGGGTCCTGCGGAGAGGGGATGCCTGGCGCCTGGCATGAGGCGAGCGGGAACTCTTGGGTCCTACAGAAATGGGGGGCTGGAGCTCCAGTGTCCTGGGGGCCAGGGTGTGAGAAGCCTGTATCCCGAGGCTGGGGGAAGGGGCACACGGATGTTTGGGCGCGTCCTGGAGAAATAGGGGGCAGGGTGCCTGGACGCCAAGATCTAGGGCATCTGAACACCTGGTGGGGGAGGCTTGGGGGCGGCCTGGAGACTGGAAGCGGTGGGGGGGTGGGGAGAGGGCGTCCTGAACGCCTAGTCCCGGAGAAGCGAAGACCTAATGGAACACCTTCCTGGTTCTGGGGGAGCTGGATACCAGGACACTGGGTCCTGAGCGTCGCGTCCACCCGGGGGGCGTCCTCGGGCCGAGGCTGTGGCTCCCACGCCCCGGTCTTCGGAGAGGAAGTTGTGGTTGCGGAGATTTGGCGGCCCGGACACGTGGCGCCACCCGCGAGGGGCTGGGGGTGGTCCTTGGGCAGAGCACGGGCTGGGGTCCCTGCCCTCCGCCCTCCTCCCTCTTCAGCCCAGCCTGGAAAATAGGCGCATCGCAGATGCGGGGAAGCAGACTCCTGGGATGGGCTGGGGGGATGCATCCCCGGGGCAGAGGGCTCTGCGGGCTGGAGGGGGCGCGCCCGGGCCCGGCGAGGCGCGCGCCCCCCGCCCGCCTTGGGCATGCTTGGCACGCAGCGCGCGGGCCGGTCGGATCCGTATGCGCGCCGCGTGCGCCTATTGGTATGCGGGAGCCGGCCCGGCGCGGGCGTGAGGCGGGCGCGCTGGCGGGCGGCGCGGGGGAGGCGGCGGCGGGGCACGTCCGCGCCCTGAGCTTCGCCCGAGACCCGGCCAGGGTGACAGCTGCAGGCTCTGTGCCGGAGGCTCCAGGGAGGGGAAACTGAGGCACGCTCCAGCGCCAGCTCCGTGCTGGTACCCTGAGCCCCGCACGGGCCTCAGTTTCCCCGCGGATCTCCCGGGGGCCCCCTCTGGCTCCCTCCCACCGCAGGAGGCGCGGATCTCGAGACCCGCAGGCTGCTCCGGGCCCGCCTGAGCGGCCCCCGCGGAGATGGCGGCCCCCTATCCCGGCGGTGGCGGCGGAGGCGAGGCCAGACGCGGGGGCGGCCGAGGCGGCAGCATCGCGTGGGACTTTCTGCCCGGCCTCGTGGTCAAGGCCCCGCCCGGACCCTGGTGAGCAAAGCCCCGCCCCTCGGCCGGGGCCCCGCCCCCGAGGAGACGTCCGGGAGAATTCGCACCCATTTCTGCCCCGCCCCCCCAGGGGAGACGACACCCCGCTGTCCGCGTCCCCAGGGGGAATTCACAACCAGCCTTGTGCCCCGCCCCCTGGGGCTGGAATTTCTTACCCTGAGTTGCTCCCCCGTTGTTCTGTGACCCCCCCCACTGCGTTCTGCTCCTAGCCCCCTTCCTCAAAATTCACACCCAACACGCTTCATCTCCCCCCTTCCACCCCCTTCCCCCCGGAACTGACACCCAAGGTTCTGTCCCCACGGCCAGGTGTACCATTCACACTCAAGTTCTGCCCCCACCTCCGGCGTGTAGAATCCACTCCCAACGTCCCGACCCATCCCGAGGCCCCGGGGGGCGGCGCTCGCCCCCAGGCCCGGCACCCCCGAGCTCCGGGCCCGGCTGACGCCTCCTCCGCGCCGCCCGCCCAGCCTGCAGGCGCAGCGCAAGGAGAAGTCCCGGAACGCGGCGCGCTCGCGGCGCGGAAAGGAGAACCTGGAGTTCTTCGAGCTGGCCAAGCTGCTCCCGCTGCCCGGAGCCATCTCGAGCCAGCTGGACAAGGCGTCCATCGTGCGCCTCAGCGTCACCTACCTCCGCCTGCGCCGCTTCGCCGCGCTGGGGGCGCCGCCCTGGGGGCTGCGGGCCGCGGGGCCGCCGGCCGGCCTGGGTGAGTGCGCGTGCGCGGGGGGCGGGGGTCCCGGCGCCAGCCGGCGCACAGCTCCTGGATCCAGAGGGACCACCGGGTTTGGAGTGAGTCAGACCTTTTGTGTCCGTATCACGTGGCTTCTGCTCTCCAAGCCTCAGTTTATTCGTCTGCAAAATGGGCACACCAAGTAGGGACGATTTCATGAATTCTGGCCTAACCGAGGGCCTGCCAACAACCCGATCCCACCACTAGGAACTACTCTCATTTTTGTTAGAGGAGGTGTATCATTGTTATCACAAAAGAGACCCACAGCTCCATGAAGGGGACAGAGGGGACCCAGCCTCGGCCTCCCACGCACTGATGCGCAGGAAACCCGCGCACTCAGCCCTGCGGGGACCCTGGGGGGGGCTCGAGGACTCTGGAGTCTGAATGCCCAGTTCGGGAAAGAGGTGGGGAGCGTGGGGGGGGGGGGGTCAGATGGCGAGCTTCAGAAAGACTCGCCTGGGTCCTTGTCCCCACTTGGCCACTCCCCAGCGTGGCGACCCCGGCTGGTCGCCTCACCTCTCTGTGGCTCATTTGTGAAATGGGAATCGTGATGACATGCCCCCTCTGAGGGTTGAGAAGTTAATCAACCAGGTCATATGTGCAAAGGCCCTGGGCACGCCTGGTGCAGAGCGAGCCATCAGTACGTAGGACTCTGGTTATCCATGGTTACCTTGCAGGGTGGCTGGGGGCTGCGGGTTATTGAGCGTCTGTGTGCGTGTTACTGTTCTGAGCCCTGGGGACCCAGCAGGAAACTAACTAGAGGGCCGGCCCCGTGGCTTAGCGGTTAAGTGCGCGTGCTCCGCTGCTGGCGGCCCGGGTTCAGACCCCGGGCGCGCACCGACGCACCGCTTGTCCGGCCATGCTGAGGCCGCGTCCCACATACAGCAACTAGAAGGATGTGCAACCAGACATACAACTATCTACTGGGGCTTTGGGGAAAAAAAATAAATTAAAAAAAAAAAAAAGAAACTAACTAGAGAACGTCCCCGCCCTGGACAGGCCGCCATCCTAGTGGCCAAGACACAATAACGAAATAAACAAAGAAATACAATCTATAATATGTAAAACTATAGAATATGTAAAACACAGATATATATAGACACTTACTTTTATTATTATTCAGACTTTGTTATTGATAGATTCTCGGAAGTGTTATGTTATTGTTATTCTGTTTGACGTATTATCGCTTTACTCTTATTACTAAAAGACAGTGAATAGGGTTAAGCTAAGGTCACAGGTGACAGGGCCAGACCACCCCCGGCCCCTCCCCCCCAGAAGAAGGGGTGTCCTTCAGGTGGGGTTGGAGGGGCTCCAATTCCCCTCCTGCCCCGGTCCCAGGGGGAGGGGGAGAGAAAATAGCATTGATTAAGCTCGCAATAAATCACCATTTAAATTTAAATAATCCGGCTTCCCAGGCGGTAATTAGGCGAATTGACTGTCGCCGAGAGAATGCGGCATTAGCGCGCTGATTACTGTCATTACCGCGAACAACATGTGCGCCGGCAGGGGATAAACATCTTGTCTATTGTCCCCGAGCCCCGGGGACAGGAGGGGGGGCTGAGAGAGCCCCGTTGAGCCCCCCCATTGCCTGGATGGGTAACTGGGGCGGGTACGGCCGTGGACTCTCTCCCTTCCCTTCAAAATTAGGATCTTGGGGGTGTCTGCTGCTCTCCGGCGTCCCCAACAAGAGGCTGAGTGCCAGCTTCCATAGTTCAGATGGGGAAACTGAGTCAGAGAGCAGAGCATTGGGCCTCGCACTTTCGGAAGAGGAGGGGCCTCCCATGTCCTCCTCAATAATATTAATAATAATAATATACATGTCGGACACTGCTGAGCACTGGAGACAAATGAACACGCTTGAGCCTCTCAAAAATCCTAGGAGGGTCAGGGCCTCAGTCTGCCATCTGTGAAATGGCACAACAGATGTTAAAGCCTAGCAGGGGCCTCTGAGTGGGAGGAGGAGACAGGCTTGATCTCATATCAGCATCGGTCATTCATTCAACAAATGCGTATTGAACACTTGCTCTGTGCCAGGCACTGTTCCACGTGCTGGTGACAGAGCAGGGAACAGGACAAAGTCCTGCCCTCAAGGGTGGGCCTATAAACCCTGTCCCCCACCTCGCTGATCTCATCTTTTCCCCTCTCACCTCTTCAACCCCCCACACACACACTGGCCACCGTGCTGTTCCCCAGAGAAACATATTCCCACCCCAGGGCCTTTGCACTTGCTGTGCCTCCAGCAGGAACTCTCTTCCCTCTGAATGTCACCTCTTCCATAAGGCCATCTGTGACCATTCTGTGAAAAATGACAACCCCCCCCCCGCCCCCAGCACTCGCTGTCTTCCTCTCCCACCTCATTTCTTTCCATAGCACTTACCATCATCAGACACTATGTATTTCTTATTTCTCTTGTTTATTGTGTGTTTCTCTCCCGCAGCACCTTGTTCCCTGAGCCTAGAATAGTGCCTGGGGCCCAGTAAGGACTCACTTCCACAGCTGGGCGACTGGAATGGAGTGAGGGGTGGAGTGAGGGGGACATCTTAATTCACAGGTCAGGCTCAGTCTCTCTGAGGAAGTGACCTTGGAGCTGAGACTGGAAGGAGGTAGGGAGCAAGTTCTGAGGAAAGCTGGAAGAAGAGCCATCCAGGCAGGGGGAACAGCAAGTGCAAAGGTCCTGGGGCAGGCAGGAGTCAGCTTGCTGGGTGCAGGCCACAGCCACGAGGCCAGGGTGTCTGGAGAGGAGTAAGTGAGGCGGGGAGTGGTCAGCAGGGGCCTCGTGGGCCGTGGTGAGCACTTTGGCTGTTACCCCAAGTCAGCCAGGAGCCACGGAGGTGGTGGGTGTAGGGGCGGAAGCAGGGAGCCCAGTGAGGAGGCGAGGGCAGTGGTCCAGGAGGGCAGGGGATGGAGGAGGCAGCCAGACCAGGGTGGGGACCGTGGGGTGAAAGGTGGCTGGATTCTGGTCATTCGGCGAGGGCACAGCTATGGGACTCGCAGAAAATGGACAAGAGAAAGAGAGGGGTCAGGGCGGACAGCAAGGAACTATCTGGAAGGGTAGGGGCGCCCTGAGGTTATCCGTAGAATCCTGATGAGAATAGTGGCAGGACTCAGGAATTAGGCACCTACTCTATACAAACCCATTCCGCTCTATCGCTAGACCCATTTTACAGATGAGGCTGCGGAAAGTAGAGGTGGAAATGCCCCCTCCGGCCCGCAGGCCTGCTCCAGGGAGCGGGGCACTCTGATTACGGTGGGTGGTTCCCTCTCGCAGGCTCCCGAAGGCTAATGAGGTCCCAGCCCTTCCTCCCCGCTACCCCAGCTGGCAAATCCCTCAGGGTAATCGAGAATGGGAGGTGAAGGCCTGGGTTTCTCCCCTCTGCCCCTCAGTCCCCCTCTGTGTGTAAGGGATGATGATGGCTGGGACAATCTTTCTTCTCTAGCAGTCTCAGGCTCTGATAGAAAAAAAAAAAAAACCCCTCAGGCAATGTTTGTTGAATGACTGAGTGATGGTTGGAGTCCGGCCGTGAGGAGGAGGCAGATCTGGGAGCAGTGAAGAGCGCCCTGCTGAGTTGAGGCATTTGGGGAGGAGAAGAGGGAACTCAGGGGGAGGAGTCGGGGAGTTGGCGGGTTCGGGGATGGGGAGGCTGGGGGAGATCATTGGCATCAGTCAGCGATGGGGACAGACCCCAGGACTCCGGTCCCAGGGCTGGGGGACCCGGGATGGGGGAACAGCAATGGCTGAGCCCTCCCCCTACACACGCATCCCGACGTGCCCATTAACGCTGTTAATTGCAGCCTGTTCGGTCTGACCCGGGCTGATCCCGTGAGAGGGAAAATGAAGGAATTAGCAAAAATGACAGGGGAAAATTGCGACAATTAGCGGGCGGCATTGTTCCCGCCTGTCACCCGGCTGGTTCGCGCTGCATCTCGGGGGAGGGGTCCCCATCAACGCCCCCCCCCCCCGAGTTATTGTTCCTGGAGCTCCAGCGGGGGTGGAAAAAGGATGTGAACGGCGGGAGGATGTTGGGGTGCTCCTGGGAGGAGGAGGCGTGGCCTGGCCGGCAGGGGGCTGGGGGCGGGGCTCGGGGGCCGCGTGGCGATGGGGAGGAGGGGGCGGGGTTTCGCCGCCCGGTGTTTTGATGGTCTGGAAGTAACAATAGTGATCACACTATTGATGCTAATGCCAGCTCTGTGTTGCCGAGCCTCTGCTGGGTGCCAGGCCGGCCCTGGCCCTTTCTGGTCCTTGAGCTGCCTGAGTGCTTATCCAGCCTGTGAGGTCAGCGCTCTTAGCAAACCCACTTGACAGAGGAGAAAACCCAGGCACAGAGAGGTGAAGGGGCTGGTCCCAGGGCACACAGCCAGGGAGGGACAGCGCTGGGGCTGGACAACAGACCTGGGCCCTTAGCCCTGCAGGAGCCCCACGCTTGCGGACCCCCGAGGTCACGGAGTCCTTCCCCTAGCTCCCCGGTCTGGGCGCGGGGACCCTTGGGGGGGTCAGGGAGGGGGTGCTGGGTGGGAACAGGGTCCAGGCCCCCTGGACCTCTGCCCACCCACAGCACGGGTGTCCGGAGCCCTCTGCTCCTGCCTGTGGGGGCTGGGTCAGGGGACCGGGACTCTCTCTGCCTCTGCCTCATTCACCATCTGTCTTTCCACCACTGGCTTCTCTGTATCCCTCTCTGTGTCTCTCTTTTCTTCTGTCTCTCCATCTCGTTATGTCTCTCTGTCTTTGTCTCTTTCTGTCTCTCTACCCCTGCCTCAATTTCTCTGTCTATATATGTCTCTGTTCCCTCTCTCTCTCTTTTTTTAATTATTGAGCTAAAATTTACATAGCATAAAATTCACCATTTTAAAGCATGCAGTTCAGTGGCATTTAGTACAGGCACAATGTTGTGCAACCATCACTTCTATCTAGTTCCAGAACATTTTCACCACCCCCAATAAAACCTTGTAGCCATTAGTAGTCAGTCCCCAGACCCTCCACCCCTACCCCAGCCCCTGGCAACAGCTAGTCTATGTTTTGTCCCATGGATTTGCCTATTCTGGAGATTTCATATAAATAGAATCATACACAGTCTTTTGTGTCTGGCTTCTTTCACTCAGCATCATGTTTTCAAGGGTCATCCATGTGGTAGCATCTATCAGTACTTCATTCCTTTTCATGGCTGCATAATATTCCCTTGTATGGATATACCACATTTTGTTTATCCAGTCCTCAGTTGATGGACACTTGGGTTGCTTCCACCTTTGGGCCATTATAAATAATTCTGCTATGAACATTCATACTCAAATCTTTGCTAGAGCACCTGTTTTCAGTTCCTTTGGGTCTATACCTAGGAGTGGAATTGCTGGGTCATATGATAACTCTATGTGTAACTTATTGAGGAACGGCCAAACTGTTTTCCAGAGCAGCTGCACCATTGTACATTCCCACCAGCGATGCGTGGGGTTTCCTATTTCCCATCACCCTCGTCAACACTTCTTTTCTTTTCTTTTCTAGTCATCCTAGTGGGTGTGAAGTGGCCTCTCATTGTGGTTTTGATTTGCGTCTTGCTAGTGACTAATGATGTTGAGCATCTTTTCATGTGCTTATTGGCCGTTTGTCTATCTTCTTTGGAGAAATGTCTATTCAAGTCCTTTGCCCATTTTTGAATTGGGTTGTTTGTCCTTTTGTTGAATGGTAACGTCTTTCTTTCTCTAGTCCATTATGTCTCTCTGTCCATCTATTTGTCTCCCTGTGTCTTTGTCTCTCAATATCTCTGTCTCTCCCTGTCTGTCTGTCTGTCTGTCTCTCTTTCCTTTTCAGTCTCCTCTCTGTCTCCTTCTTATCCTTCAGGTCTGAGCTCAAACGCTCCCTCCTCCCATGGGCCTTACCCCATTCTTCTTTATTCACACCATCTATTCAATTCTCCGTAGCACTGGCCACTGATGATAATTCTATATTTGTTCGTTGCTTGCTTGTTTATCTGCCCCTGGCCTGGGTGCCCTGTGAGGGCAGGACTGGGCTCTCCCAGTCACCTCTGTGTCCCCAGCACTACTTAGCCCAGGGCCCAGTACACGGTTGGTGCTCAGGGCAAGTTTGTGGAATGAATGAATGGATGAATGAATGAATCCCTTTCTGCATCTCCTGGTGTCTCTCTGTCTCTGTGTGTCTCAGTCTGTCTGTCTGTCTGTCTGTCTGACCCACCTCTGCCCCTTCCACTCTTTCCCACACCCCGTGTCTCTCCCCCGAGGGCCCAGGGCCCCCAGTACCCCAAGATGGCTGCAGGCCTGGGGCCACGAGAAGGAGGTCTGTAGCCTGGCTCCCTGGGGGCCTGCGCAGAAGGCCAGGGGTCAGCCAGAGCAACAGGCCCCGGCCTCACCCCTGCCTCTGCCCCAAGCCCCAGGCCGCAGGGGCCCCGTGGCGCTGGTCTCCGAAGTCTTCGAACGGCACCTGGGAGGACACATTTTGCAGGTGAGGCCCCTTCCCTGCCGCTGCTCCTTGCTGCCACCTGGTGGCCGCCTCCAGAGAACAGCGCCCTTTTCTCCAGCATCCATTCCGTGGGGAGCCCCAGGCTGGGAGGGTGAATTCTCCGGCTCCCCCTCCTACCTGCCCCTTTCGAGGACCAGCAAAGCCCCCTCCCCACCCAGAATAATCCATCCTAGGCAGAGATCCAGATTTCAGAACCTCTTACCACTTGCCAGCTGGACAGACAGACAGATGCCAGGCCCTCCTCTCCCCGTCCCTGTCTCTCCCCATTCTAGTCCCTGGACGGCTTCGTGTTTGCCTTGAACCAGGAAGGGAAGTTCCTCTACATCTCAGAGACGGTCTCCATTTATCTGGGCCTCTCACAGGTAAGGGGCGTGCAGCGGGCTGGCTGGGCTGCCTCAGCCACCAACTCCCTTGCTGGCCCATGCCTGCCCTTTCTCCTGGCCTCCCCATCCCAGCATGAAAATGGACTGAATCTGTGCTTCCCAAAGTGCGTTCCTTGGAACCCCACATGGCACCGAATATATGGCTCCTCCTCACAGGCAGAGGAGGGTTATTAAAGTAACAGGTCAATCTGAAGAAAGCAAATGAGCAGAAAGACCAGTTTGCCCACGAGTGGTTCCCCAAATGTACTGTATTTGCCAAAACTTGTTTCTTCTAACAATTGTAAAGGCTTACAGCAATTCGTATTGGACGGGCTTGGGTGTTGCCGGCTGTGGGTGATTTTCTGTGGCATTTGAGTGGACTGGCTTTCGTTTTGTCTTTATTCCAGCCCACTGTTTCTGCCCCAGCTCACGCAACTGGTGGCCGAATGGTAAAAGGAGGGCAGGGGGAAGCTGAAAGCCCCATCCCTGGAGTCCTGGCTCCTTGTGACATCTTGGGCTTTGCCAATCTACTCAACACAAATTGCTCTCAGTTCTTATCGTTTTTACAGAGATTTTGGCAAATGGTAAAATTAGAAAATTCGATGTGTTGGTATTTAGCCTTTGCGAGCAGCTTTTCAGTGAGTCGTTAGAGATTCCCGGAGGAGGAAGGCTCTGAAGGAAGGGGCATATCGACAAGAGGAAGGGAGGGAGGATGAGTGGAGGAAAGGGCTGAATGAGGGGGAGGAGTTCAGAGGGATGAGGGATAGAGGGAGGCCTGTGACCCCAAGCCAGGGAGCAGTGGAGCCGTGGGAAGCTTCTGAGAGGAGGAGGGTGTTCACATGAGTAACTTGTGGGGACTGGAGGTGAAGACCAGTGAGGATGCGGGGCAGGAACGCAGTGGGGAGAAGATGGGCGCCTGGACTGGGGAGGCGTAGAGAGAAGGGGACTGCAGGGAGAGACCTGGGGAGCCAAATTGAATGGAAAAGTCTGTCTGATTGAAAGGTTCTAACTCTCTAAAGAGTTCGAGGGGTCGGCCCCGTGGTGTAGTGGTTAAGTGCGCGCGCTCTGCTGCTGGTGGCCCGGGCTTGGATCCCAGGCGTGCAGCGACACACCGCTTGTCTGGCTATGCTGTGGCGGCGTCCCATATAAAGTGGAAGAAGATGAGCACAGATGTTAGCCCAGGGCCAGTCTTCCTCAGCAAAAAGAGAAGGATTGGCATCAGATGTTAGCTCAGGGCTGATCTTCCTCACAAAAAAAAAAAAAGTTCGAGAACCATTCCACTGCTTGTGTCCTGAGTTCCATTCCTGCTGAGACATCGTGTGATTCATTTCAGGACACAGTTGTTTGCTGTACGGAGGGGGGAATGAGTATGTGGGAGCTGGGTAAATGGAGGCTATGACATTCCCCCATCCCAACCCCCTACACGGCTCCTTCTTAACAGAGTAGGAAGGGGCAGAACATACTTAATAGCTATTGAGTTTAAAGTGGGAGGGCATGAGAAAAGCCTAAGTTTGTATCCTCTTTTAAAAAGGTTAAAAAAAAAAAAAGAAGAAGAGGGCCGGCTCCGTGGCTTAGCGGTTAAGTGCGCGCGCTCTGATGCTGGCGGCCCGGGTTCGGATCCCGGGCGCGCCCCAAGGCACCACTTCTCCGTTCAGCGCGAGGCCGAGTCCCACGTACAGCAACTAGAAGGATGTGAACCTATGACATACAACTATCTGCTGGGGCTTTGGGGGGAAAAAAATGAATAAATAAAATCTTTAAAAAAAAAAAAAAAGAAGAAGAAAAATTCTAGTAAATACAAAGGCTAGCATGAAGCGCGCCTGCGTGTAGGCGAGTGAGCCAGAGGCCGACTGGGCGGGCGAGTGACTGCGCGCGCACCTCACCCGGCCCCTGCATTCCCCCCCGTCGCCGGCAGGTGGAGCTGACAGGCAGCAGCGTCTTTGACTACATCCATCCGGGGGACCACTCCGAGGTGCTGGAGCAACTGGGGCTGCGGGCCCCCACCCCCGGGCCCCCCACCCCACCTTCCGTCCCGTCCTCTTCCTCCTCCTCCTCCTCCTCGCTTGCGGATACCCCCGAGATCGGTAATTCCAGGGGCCCCAGAGAATGAGGGCTGAGGGTAGATCAGGGGACACCGGGTCCGCTGTATCCAGCCATGTTTCATTTATACAAAAACTCGTTAAGAGTTGTGCAAAGCACGTTTTTGTAAAAATGAATCAAAGTCTAAACTGAGGCAGGAGATTTGGCTCCCTAAAATTGCCTGGCTACGCGAGATGTGAGCCTTAGAAAGACCACTCTGGCTGCTCAGAGGTGCCCATGAGCGGCAGAGGGAACCAGACTGGTAAATACCAACGACGCCTGCTTATTGGGCACTTACACATGCTGTGCCTTTAAGCACATAATTTCATGAATCCCAACCCCAACCCCACAAAGCAGGAACTATTACTAGCTCCATTTTCCAGAGGAGGAAACTGAGGCACAGCACAGAGAGGTTAAGTTAATTGCCCCAGGCCACACAGCTGGAAGAGGCTGAGTTGGACTCCAGCCTGGGTTTGTCTGGCTCCAGGATCTGTGCTTCTAACCCTTCTCTCCCCTGGAAAATTCCAAAAACATCCGGGCTATCAGCAGTGCTGGCAAGTTTGGGAGATGTTTGTGAGACTGTCAGGGAGGGTGACTGTGTTTGCACCTAAGTTTGAGGCCTGGGGTCATCTGTGTGAGCATATTTTTAAGACTGTCTCAAGGGGGTTTATGGAATGATCTGTATTTGTGAGTCTTATTTGTTGCTATACCCCGAGCCCCTGCTCTGTGCCCAGCCCTGTGCTGGGAGGGCTGGCAACACAGTCGTGACAAGAGCCCAGCCCCACCCTCCCAGGACCCACAGTCCAGTGGGGGAGACTCACCCATCCCCAGAGAGTGACGACACAGAGTGGGCAGGCTGGGATGCGAGACCCCAGAGCGAGTGGCTGACCCAGCCTGGGGGTTAGGGAGGGCTTCCTGGAGGAGGAGACGCCTGACCTGGCCCAAATTTTTAGGTGAGGAGCTGGGCTTTCTCCCAGAAGTCCTAGGGAGCCATGGCAGGTTCAGAGCAGGGGAGGGACAAGGTGGGACCTGAGCTTTAGAAAGACCCGGCTGGCTGGCTGGCTGCTGCTCGGAGGGGGCGTTAGTGTACAAGGTCCGTGAGTTTCTCTGAGTGGCCATGACCCCGTGTCCGGCTGGCTCTGCAGGGGACAGAGGTGGCCCGTGCGGTTCCTCTTCAGGACCCCGTAACCTCCCTTCACTCTCCGCCCCAGAGACCAGCCCCACCGAGGCGCCCGCCTCCTCCTGGGTGCAGGAGCGCTCGTTCTTCATCCGCATGAAATCCACCCTCACCAAGAGGGGGCTGCACGTGAAGGCCTCGGGGTACAAGGTGGGTGTGAGCCCTTTGGTCCCCTCCCCGGCCCGGGGTGGGGGGCTCCTGCAGTCCCGCCTGCCATGTCCCCGTGCCCCAGCGCCTGAGGGTGACAGCCGGAGCCAGGCCCCGCCTCCAGCCACGCCCACCGCCTGCAGGTCATCCACGTGACCGGCCGCCTGCGGGCCCGCGCCCTGGGCCTCGTGGCCCTCGGCCACACGTTGCCCCCGGCCCCGCTGGCTGAGCTGCCCCTCCACGGACACATGATCGTCTTCCGGCTCAGCCTGGGGCTCACCATCCTTGCTTGTGAGAGCAGGTACCGGGCTTGGGGCCGAGGCGGGCGGAGGGGGGCGCACAGAAGTCAGGGGGCGCATCGGTCTGTGGCCTGGGGCACTGGGGAGCCATGGGAGGCGGCAGAGCAGCAGAGCACCGGGGGTGACGGGAAGAAGGAGTGAAGGCAGAGGCTGGGGCGCAGCCTTTGGGGCTGGAGGGGGCGCTGCGCTTGATTCTGAGGCCCAAGCCCTCCGTCCGCAGAGCGCCGCCCACCCTCCCATCCCATTTCTCTCTCACCCTCTCTGGGCTCTCGTCTCTTATCCACTCTCTCCTGCACCACGCGGGGGGGGGGGGGGGGAATTCGGTGAACTAGTCCCCACACTCTGAGCATCTCCGGAGTACCTGGGCCACCCCACACCCAGGAGTGCCAGCTGCCTGAGTGCCCATAGCCACCCCAGGAGGCTCACTATTATTGTAAATATTCTCACGCCCATTATACAGAGGGGAAAACTGAGGCCCAGAGCACTCCAGAGCAAGGGTTTGGACCCTGGGTGATTTTGGAGCCCACTCTGCCTCTTTTTCCCCACTCCCTGGTCTCGGACCCCTCCTCCCCTCCTCTCTCTGTCACCCCCTGCCCTCAGAGTCAGCGACCACATGGACCTGGGGCCCTCGGAGCTGGTGGGCCGCAGCTGCTACCAGTTTGTCCACGGACAGGATGCAGCCAGGATCCGCCAAAGCCACCTGGACCGTGAGAACCCCTCACCCCAGACCTGAGTACTCCCAATGCCCCGCTGCCTGGAAGTCCTTCTTCGGGGCTGACCACAGTCCCTCCTGCTGCCAACTCCAGGAGCTCAACTCAGTCCAGCAAGAGCAGCAAAGAGACTCTGAGCAATGGCTCAGGATGTGGGGTGGGAGTCAGGGGGCCTGGGGGTCTCTTGGACCCACCCTTAAAAATCCAGGGGCCTTGATGCTGGCTTACCTCTGCCTTTCTGACTCTGGCTGTCTCTCTCTCTCTCCTTTGGCCTTTCTCTCTGCTCCTCACGGTCTCCCCCTTTCTGTCCCCCGTGTCTCCCCGTCTCTCCGCACTCGTCTCCCCGTCTCTCCGCACCTGTCTCCCCATCTGTCTCTGCACCGGTCTCCCCATCTCTCTCCACACCTGTCTCCCCATCTCTGCACCTGTCTCCCCTCCGCCCATCCCCTGTCCGCCCCCTCCCTGTGTCTGCTGACCCGCCTCTCCCCCTCTGCCCGTCGCCCCTCCCCGCCCCCGCCTCTGTGGCCCCTGGGCGGGGCCCAGTGCTGGACAAGGGTCAGGTGATGACCGGTTACTACCGCTGGCTGCAGCGCGCCGGGGGCTTCGTGTGGCTGCAGTCCGTGGCCACCGTGGCCGTGAGCGGGAAGAGCCCTGGGGAGCGCCACGTGCTCTGGGTCAGCTATGTGCTCAGGTGAGGATCGCGCCCCCCCCATCCCACAGGGGGCTCGGAACCCCCTCCCGAAGATTCTCCCCACCTCAGCGTAGGAGCTCTTCAGGGAGGGCTGCTAGAAGAGGACAAGCCCCGAGGGGTTTGAAAACATGAAGGGGAGAGGGGGACAATGGGGAGAGGCAGTGGGGCGGGAGTGACACTCTCTCCTAGGGAGGCAGGTTCGAAGCGGCCTCGGGCCGACCTTGAGGGACTGGACTTGATTCCGGGCACTGGGGAGCCATGGCAGGCTCTCACCGGGGGAGGGCCACAGAGCAGAGCGACGGACAGAAAGAAGCTAGAGGTGGGAAGAACATTCCAGGCTGAGGGCACAGCCTCGGCAAAGGCTCAGAGCAACCACCGACTGGTCCAAGGAACTCAAGGGAGCGCTCGGGGCTGGAGTGGTCGTGAGAGACGAACCTGAGGAGGATGGTGGGGGCACTGGGGAGCCGTGGAGCGGCTAAGGCTGGGAGGGTCACAGTCAGATCCGCTTTTTGGACAGAGCCCTCTGGCTGCCGTGAAGAGGGGATCTGAGGGACAAGGCAGGGGCTGGGAGACCAGGGAGCAGGGGTGGCGGGTCCTGGGAATGGCTGGCAGTACAGGTGGGGGAGGGGAGGCAGCCGTCCACTGCCCCCCCAGGCCTCTGGCTTTGCTGGGCCTGGATCCGGGCCTCTGAGAGGACAGCAGGTTTGGAAGGAAGATGCTGAGGTCAGATGAGCAGGAGGTACCCAGGGGACACGTAGGTGGGGACATCCGGGGGCCACGGGCTGCACAGGTCTGGCCTCAGGAGACAGGGCCAAGCTGGGCTAGAAGCCAGCTTGGAGTTTGGGGGTCCAGGGATGAGTCATAAGTGCCTGGGGGTGCGGGCTCAACAGTCACTGGAGGGGGGAGGGGTCTACACTCGCAGAGGGGGAGGGGAAGTCTACACTTGCAAGACTGGGGGGCAGGAGGGAGCCCACCCTCACCAGAGGCTGGGTGGCGCGGGACCCCTGGCTCCCAACCCCATCTGTCTTGTCCCAGCCAAGCCGAGGGCAGCCAGACACCTCTGGACGCCTTCCAGCTTCCAGCCAGTGTGGCCCGTGAGGAAGTGCCCAGCCCGGAGCCAGAGCCCACAGGTGAGCCCCACCGCCCACCCCAACCCCGGAGGGGCTCCGAGCGGCCTCTGGGACCTGCGCTGTCCAGTCCGGAAGCCGCTAGCCACATGCGGCTGTTTACATAACAATTCAAATTAAAAACTCAGTTCCTCAGTCGTCGTCACATCTCAAGGGCTCAGTCGCCATATGTGGCCAGTGGCTAATGTGTCGGATGGTGCAGATGTGGGACATTTCCATCAAAACCACCCCAGCTGAGACCCACAGGTCCAGACGGCAGAGCACAGCTCCACTCCACAGATGGGAAGACTGAGGGCTGGGGACGCGCACACACAGGCCCTTGCGGATCCTTCTCTTCCAGAGCCAGAGCCTCCAGCGGGAGGGAAGCAGGCTGCACCCTCGGCCAAGGATGAGAAGGCCCCCCAGACCCGGGGCAAATGCATCAAAGTGGAGCCCGGGCCCGGGGACACTAAAGACCCGGAGGACAGTGGGGACGAGGAACCGTCCAGCCAGCCAGCCCCGCTGCGGCCTGAGTTCACCTCCGTCATCCGGGCGGGGGCCCTGAAGCAGGACCTGGCGCGGCCGTGGGGCCTGGCGCCCCCTGGGGCCGCACCCCCTGCCCTGCTGCACGCCGGCTTCCTGCCGCCCGGCGTCCGGGGCCTGTGCACGCCGGGCACCATCCGCTACGGCCCCGCGGAGCTGGGCTTCGTGTACCCACACCTGCAGAGGCTGGGCCCCGGCCCCGCCTTCCCCGAGGCCTTCTACCCCACGCTGGGCCTGCCCTACGCGGGGCCCCCGGGCACCAGGGTGCCGCGGAAGGGGGACTGAGGACTGGGAGAGCCGCCTGCAGACTGGACTCTGGGGATGCGTGGGGCCCAAGGGGCCAGGGCTCTCAGCCCCATCGGCCCTGCCTGAGAATTAAACACCTGCCCCGCCCTGTGGCTCCGTCTCTGCGCGCCGTGGAGCTCCTCTCTCCTTCCTTCTCCTTCTTGGTGACTCCACCTGCCTCTGTCGCCTCCCAGGCCACCTGTCCCTTCCCTCCCCCCGCGCTCCATGCCCCTCCAGGCCCAGCCTTCCCCAGGTAGCAGGAACCACACGGGGAATCGGGAGCGAGGGAAGGGTCAGGTTTTAATGTCCCGGCCGTCCAGCGCCCGGCCCGGCCCCGCGGCCCGCTGCTCACTCGGGCGGGGGCCGGCCCGCGTCATCGGGGCCCTCGGCGGCGGCCGTCCCGTCGTCCTCGGGCACCAGCTCCACGTCCAGCTCCAGCTGGCCCATGTAGAGGCCCACGGCACAGGCCCAGAGCAGGCCGGCGGCCAGCACGGCGCCCACGCCCGCCGCCGCGCCCCCCAGCGAGAGCTGCATGGGCCCGCGCAGCGCGGCCAGGCCCACCACGTAGGAGGCGCCGCCCCACACCACGCACAGGCCGCCCAGCAGGAAGAAGCCTGTGGAGGGGGCGGAGGCCGCGTCAGGGGAGGGCACCCGAGGGCCTGGGCCCAGGCTGGGGCTGCGACGCGTCGGGGGGTGGAGGCCAGGGTCAGGGAGCCAGGTCCCGGGCACCCGGGGGGGTCAGTGGACTGAGATGCAGTTAGACAGGGGATGGGGCAAACTCAGGGGCAGAGGAGGGGTCAGGCCAGGACAGAGCCAAGGTCGGGGGCCTGAGAAGGAATCAGGGGGTGTCTAGACTTGGAGGTGGGGTCCAGGATCAGAGGAGGGGTGGGGGGCTGGTCTCAGAGCAAAGAGGGTTGGAGAGGCAGAAGCAGGGCCAAGCCGGGGGTGGGCCAGCATGAGGGGCTGCGACCAGGACCCTCATCTTTGTTGAGATATTGGATTGGAGGGAGTGAAGACCCCCAGCCATGCCCTGGGCCACCCCCTCAGGTAGGGGTGAGGTACCACCTCAAGAGGTGGGGGGTGGGGCAGGTGGAAGGCCCACAGAAGTGAGGGTGAGGGGTCTTCTGGTGGGGGAAGGATGAGGGGTTTTACACTTACTATGGGGGGATGGAGCAGGACGCAATCTACACTAACCAGGGAGGGGGGCTCTATTTTCCCCAGTAGGGGAGGGGGGGCGACAGTGGGGGTCTGCACTCACCATAGGCGGCTTCCCGACCCATGTCACTCTGCATGAAGGAGATGACCCCGATGCCCGAGGCCAGGAGGCCATTGCGGAACCAGGAGAGGAAGGCTGGAGGGAGGGGGCAGAGGAGGGAACAGAAATCAGCATCAGCCCAAACCTTATCCCCAGACCCCTCAGCCCAGACAGTGAAACTGAGAGGCTTAATCTCATCCCACCACCCCCTCCCACCCCACATCCCCACCTCTTCCTGGCGGGCCCCCCACATAACCCTATCCCCCCAAACCCTCTCTCGCCTCCCTCCCTCTCCCCCAAACTCTGCAACACCAAAGATTCAAGAGTCTCTCTAGAAGCTAGGACCGAAATTGCAGCACCTAAGACCCCAAGAGGGCATCTTGGTCAACCCCCTCCCCACATGTGTATCCCCACGGGTCGCCCCGCACACTTCCCCTCGGACCCCGGGACAAACAGCTCCCCCACCCCAGGCCTCTCTCCAGCCTCCCTCTTCAGTTTTCCTCAAAAAACTACCCCTATGTCTGCAACCGAGCGTGTCCTTCCTTGACGTCATTCACATCCTTTCAAGTCTCAGGTGTGGCGCTAACGGGCCAGTGGGGTTACAAGCCCCCGACCCCTACCCCATCCTCTCTAGATGACCCGTCCTTTCCCATCCAGGCTCCGCCCCCCATAAGGCCCCTCCCCCAGCAGCCTGGATCACCTCGCCCTCCAATCAGCCCCGAGCTTTTTTCCTATTGGTTGTTCTTCCTCCAATCGGGAACTTGCCCCTCTTCTGTGGGGATCCACACTCCCGCCTTATGCAGTAGTGGTCTCCTCTGTAATCTGAACTGGCCCCTCCAAAGCGGACCCCTCTTGTAAGCCACTCTCTTGCCCTGAGCCCTATTTGGAAGCCTCCCTCATGCGGACAGCGCAATTGTATGAGGCTGCCCGTCCTAGCCCGACCAGCCTCTCCGCTGCCCACTGCACCCCACTAACCTGGACCCACTGTCCCATCCGCAAGCCCTTCTATGCGGACACGCTGCGCTCCTGCAGCCTGCACTTCCCTGCGCTTACACGGAAGCCTTTCTCCCTCCTGAGCCCGGGTCCTGCTCCAGCAGAAGCCCCGCCCCTGTCCCCCACACGCGCGCGGGCTGCTCGGCTCTCCAGACCCCTCGCCCACCCGGGCCGACCCCAGCCCCAGCCCGGGTCCCAGACCTGTCTCATGCGCCTTCCGGAGCAGCCAGGCGTCCGCGCGATCCAGCTCGGACACGGGGGGCGGCGAGGCCCCTGCACGGGGGCCGTGGCCGGGGGCGAAGGACCCCCGGGCGCCCCCGCTCCGGGGCCGCGGAGGCGGCAGCAGCACCCCCCTGAAGCGGAGTCGGGCCAGGCGGGCGGCCCGAGCCCACCACCAGCCTCCTCCCATGGTTCGCACCAAGGCCGCCGCTAAACGCCCCGCCCCACGGGCCGCCCGTAGGCTGAACCACACGTCAGTCAGGCTTAGAGGCTTATCCATTGGTTGGGCGCGCGCCACTCAGGCCCAGTACGTACTGTCCATTGGTCAGAACAGCGGTGATTCCCTCCTCTGTCATTTGTGCCGGTACTGCGCGTCCCACCTTACTTCTGCCGCTGGACTACGAATCCCGGCGCTCATTGCGCCAAGGGGTAGGCCGGTCTTCAGAAGCCAGAGGCGCGATGTCTGCTGGGCCTTGTAGTTTTTGTTAATAACGTTAATCATTCCAATGGTCAAAAATCAAAAACAAAACAAAACTCACAGTGCTTAATATATAACCTTTGCAAAATCTCAAAGAGCCCAGAGGAAAAAGAAAATCTCACGATTAATTCTACCAATGAGCCGTTACTGCTAATATTTTGTTATATGCCTGTTCCATCTTTTTTTCTATGCAGATGTAAAATGAGGTGCCGTTTAACAAACTAGATTTTTTCATATAACAACAAATCGTGAACACTGACCAGTGGCATTGACGATTTTTCCACAGCATAATTTTTTATTTTGGAAATATTGTTTATTTTGAACATGGTACAAGATGCAAAAGTCACAAAATGGCCTAATGAAAAGTAATTCCCACCCCCTCCCCCAGCAGGCCAGTTCCCGTCCCCCACTCCACAGAGTCAAGTTTAATGGTTCATACTGATGCACTATAAGGACATCCCACGAGTTGATCCCAGGCCCTAAGTTGTTGCCAATTTTCCCCGCTATAAACAACTGTAGTTCCTTTTAGGTCTAAGCTTATGTCCGCGTTGGGTGGGACCTGATCCCGCTGGCAAACTTCAGCAGCCAGCTTCTGCCTCTGGGTGCACACGTGGCTTTGTATATCCCCTTACTAACTGTGTCATAATGATCTCTATCCTTATCTGTCTCTGCCATCAGGCTGTCAGCTTCCGGTGGACTGGGTCCTTGATTGACACGTCTCTATGTCCGCCCCCCACCCCCACCCAATATAGGTAGGGGACTTCGTAAATAATAATAGCAAACATTTACCAATGGCATACTCTATGCCAGGAATTGTGTTAATAATTCCTAATTGTGCTAAATAATGCCATTTATTCCTCATTGTAACCCTAGGAGTTGAGGATTAGAATATTCCCTCTTTTATAGAGGAAAACAGCAAGGCTCAGAGAAGTGAGGTAATAAAAGTTGATGTTTACTGAGCGCTAACCATGTGTCAGACACTGTACTCTTGCTGTACATGGAAAGTCATTAAATCCTCAGAATAACCCTGTGTGATATGTGCCATCACTATCCCCATTTTACAGAGGAGGAAGAAAGAGAGGGTAAATTAGTTGCTCTAAATCACATAGCTAGTTAGACAAGTCCAATGGCAATTACTAGCCACCGTGCCATGTAGTTTAAACTCATTCATTCATTCAACAAGTATTTACTGAGCACTTGCTCTCTGATAGCATTATGCTACACATTTGGGATAACTCAGTAAACAAAACAGACAAAATTCTCTGAACTTCTTCCATCTGATAAAGGGCATCTACAAAAAACGTACAACTAGCATCATTCTTAGTGGTGAAATGTTGACTGCTTTCCCCCTAAGACTGGAAAGAAAGCAAGGATTTCCACTCTCACCACTTAATCAACATTGTATTGGAGGTTCTAGCTAATGCAATAAGGCAAGAAAAAAAAAGAGGCATAAAGATCAGATAGAAGAAGGAAAATTGTCAGTATTTGCACGTGATGTGATTGTTCATGTAGAAAATTCTAAGCAATCAAAATAACTGCTAAAACTAATAAACGAATTTAGCAAGTTTGCAAGATACAAGATCAATATACAAAAATCAATTTTATGTTTACATACTAGCAGGAAATGATTGTAAAATGAGGTTAACAATAATTGCCTTCAGGGCTGGCCCCGTGGCGCAGCAGTTAAGTGCGTGCACTCTGCTGCGGTGGCCCGGGGTTCGCAAGTTCGGATGCCGGCGTGCACCGACGCACCACTTGTCAAGCCATGCTGTGGCTGCATCCCACATAAAGTAGAGGAAGATGGGCACGGATGTTAGCCCAGGGCCAATCTTCCTCAGAAAAAAGAGGAGGATTGGCATCAGATGTTAGCTCAGGGCTGATCTTCCTCACCAAATAAATGAATAAATAAATAAAAATAATTACCTTTATAATAGCATCAAAACCAAAAATATCTAGGAATAAATTTAACAAAAGACATGCAAGATTTCTACACTGAAAACTACAAAATATTGTTGAGATACATTAAAGAAGATCTAAATAAATGGAGATATATACTATGTTCATGGATTGGAAAACTCATGGCTCTCAAGGAGCTTACATTCTAGAGGGATAGGCAGAAAATAAGCAATAAACATGCTAAGTAAGTCTAGGGAACGTCCAGGGGACTAGAGAAGCCCAGAGAGGGCGCCTAACCCAGCCAGCATGTGGGGTCAGCAAGGAGGTGTCTAAGTTGAAACCTGAGCTATGAGCAGGCAGGGGCCAGTAAAGGGTGTTCAGAGCCCTGCAGAAAAAACCTGGGGGGGCCGGCCCCGTGGCTTGGCGGTTGGGTGCGTGCACTCCACTGCTGGCGGCCTGGGTTCGGATCCCGGGCGCGCACCGATACACCGCTTCTCCAGCCATGCTGGGGCCACGTCCCATATGCAGCAACTAGAAGGATGTGCAGCTATGACATACAACTATCTACTGGGGCTTTGGGGGAAAATAAATAAATAAATAAATAAATAAATAAGAAATCATCTCTTTAAAAAAAAGAAAAGAAAAAACCTGGGGCCTGAGAAATCTCACAGTGAGTGTAGGAGACTGAATATCAACAAGAAAATAACCGCCAATTATTTACCGTCATGGGATGGTCTCCTTGCTTACCTGTAAGCAGCTGTGACAATTACATTTTCTTTTTATTTTTAACCTTTTTTGTGTGTGTGTGAGGAAGATCAGCCCTGAGCTAACATCCATGCCAATCCTCCTCTTTTTGCTGAGGAAGACTGGCCCTGGGCTAACATCTGTGCCCATCTTCCTCCACTTTATGTGGGACGTCGCCACAGCATGGCCTGACAAGCGGTGCCTCAGTGAGCACCCAGGATCCGAACCCCGGCCGCCAGCAGCAGAGCGCGCGCACTTAACCACTGTGCCACAGGGCCAGCCCTAACGATTACATTTTCTGAGATGCGATCTGACTGTAGCGCTCTTTTGAATCCGGAAGAGCATCTCTGTGCCCACCCAACCCCAACCAGAGCCAGGCATTGATAATCTGGACTCTCTAAGATCACCCCATTTAGTTCCTGAGTCACTTTGAACTCTTGATCCTGTGCACTAGGGAGCCATGGAGAATTCATGCAGGGGGCAGACAATGTTCAATTTCTCTGTTAAGAAGGTCACTCTGTCTCCCTCTGGAGGATGGGTTGTAGCAGGGAGAGACAGGAAACTTGTGAAAGGATGGGTGACCCTGTCAACAGCTCTCTATTTCTCCCCATTCCTTCACTAGTCCCAAGCCTGGTTATCTTTCACCTGGACAGCTGAAAGCAGCCCACTCATAGGTCTTCTGACCCCCCCTAAAGTCAGTTTATTAATTCAGCAAATATTTATTGAGTTTCTACAATGTACCAAGCTTCATTTGAGACACTGAGGGTACAGCAGTGAACAAAACAAGAAAAATGATGTATCCCAGTCCCTGTGGACACGACACTATTGGAGAAGGGGGACAAAGGAATAACTAATGTAAGTTCAGGTGGTTAAATCCCATGAAGAGAATAAATCAAGGTGATTAGGTAGAATGATCAGAGAGTGTGGCAGCCAGCCTCTAAGGTGACCCCAGTGATCTTCACACTTTCTGTGTTCTCCTCCCACACCCCATTAGGGCTGGTCTGTGTGACCAATAGAACACTGTGGAAGTGAAAGAGTGTGGCTTCCAAGGCTGGGTCATAAAAGACATTAGGACTTCCGCCTTGCTCTCTTGGATCCCCTTCTCTATGGGAAGCTAGCCGCCATGTTGTGAGGACACTCAAGCAGCCTCGTGCAGCTGTCCACTTGGAGAGGAACTGAAGTCCCCAGCCAACAGCCAGCACCAACTTGCAGCCACGTGAGTGAACCTCCTTGGAAGTGGACCCTCCAGCCCCTGTCAAGTCTTCAGATGACTGCAGCCCCAGCCTAGACATCATGAGAGACCCCAAGCCAGAACCACCCAGAACCACAAGCTAAGCTGCTCTCATGGGGTTCCTAGCCCACAGAAACTATGTGTGATAATACATATTTCTTGTTTTAAGCCACTAGGTTTTAAGAATGTGACATGTGAATAGCAATCTGAGTGACAAGAAGGAGTCAGCCATGATGTGATGCGGAGGAGGCGTGCTCTGGGTGGAGGGGACAGCAAGTGCAAAGGCCCTGAGACTGGAGTGAGCTTGATATGCTGGAGGAATAGCCAGGAGGCCAGGGTGGTTGGAGCAGAGCAAGTGATGGGGAGAGTCGGAGGAGAGGAAGTCAGAGAGAGAATGGCGGGGAAGGTTGTTGGGGTCGTGTGGGCCACGGTAAAGGCTTCATATTTTATTTTAAGTGTGATGGGAGCCAGTGGGAGACTTTGAGCTGGGGAGTGGCATGGTCTGCCACGTCTTTAGAATATGGTGCTGACTCGCCAACGGAAAATAGACTTAGCAGCCGAGTGTTTTAAATGAGCATCTAGTGATGTCTCTCCCTAGCTTAAACCCTTCCATAACTTTCCATTGCCCTCTGGAACCATGACTACAAGGCTGGCCGGGCCAGGCCCTCCTTGACCTCCGCTCCTTCGTCTCCTACTGGGAAGAGCTTGGATTTTATGGAGGGGGAGGTGGGATGGAGGGGGTTAAACTTGGGGAGGGAATTCAAATGGCCTGTAATAGATAGCCTGCCTGCTAGCAATGAATGCTAAGCATTAAATGGGATTAAATGGGAACGGAAAATATTTGACACACATTTTT